AAGCTCGGGTGGCTTCAAAACGCAACAGGACTCACAGTCCAGGCTGTAGTCGGCCCGTAGGTACGACTTTCCGTCGTCCTGGGTGTCGCAGACGAAGGTGTCGAGGATGGTGTGGGAGACCGTAGGGTAGACCACGAACACCAGCAGCAGGGCCACGGAGAGGTGCCGGTTTTGGATGACGGTTACGACGGCTTCTTCTTCCGACGAAGGGCCAGCTGGTAGTTGTTGCTGTTGTTGCTGCTGCTGCTGCTGTTGTGTTTGCAGAGCTGGCGAGTGCGGTGCACCCCGCTCACTCGTCAATGACGCCTCCGCTGCGACGAAGAAAGAGGAAGCGCCGGGGCTGTTTCGGCTGCGGTGGTTGTTGTGCCGAAGGGCCAGGAGGTATGTGCAGCTGAGGACGCCCAGCATCACCACCGGGCCGATCGTCGCGATCCCAAAACCTGGACGTTGTTGTTGTTGCTGTTGTTGTTGTTGTTGTTGAATCTCACGAGAATAGCAGTTGCCATTCATACGAAACCCATCTCGGCATGCTTTGACCAAACCACGAACGCCTTGCTACAGGCACGAGCAACTCGGCAGCCAGCAGGAACGAACGCGTTTCTGTCACCCCTTTTACCCCCGATTTCCTCATCGTATAAATACTGGTTGAAAACAGCCCGCTCGCGGTATGGTTGCAAACGTTACAGAAACACGCCAAGCGCTTCGAACGACTCACGGTGGTAGAAACTGGTTTGATACACGCACGCGAACGACAGCACGAACCCCACGTCGAGGTTGACCACGTCGACCGCCAACAGCAGCTCAGAAAGCGGGCTGGGATACTGGACGTCCGCGACGTCGGAATACTGTGATCGTGGGAGAGGCAGACGGAGGACGAGAGGGAGTTAAACGGAAGAGACACAAGCGACGACCGGGTTACAGCGGTAAGGGAGAGAGGGGCAGGGAGAGAGGCGGAAAAAGGAGGAGGGACAGAGGAGGAGGGACAGAGGAGGAGGGACAGAGTAGGAGGAGGAGGAGGAGGAGGAGGAGAGAGGGAGGGAAACGCGTTACGCGGAAGAGAGACAAGCGGCAACGGGAGGAGGGGCAAAGGCGGGAGGGATAGGAAGAGAGGCAGAGATGGATGTGGAGAGAACAATATATGACGTTGAACGACAGTCAGATAGACTAACAGTCAAGCAGACACAGATGAAACAATCTACAAACATATGGTAGCACACAGACAGAGCAAGCTTGCACACAGACGAAAAATCGAACTCCAACACAGACACCGCTACAAGACTGACATATTTTCATTGGCCAGCCATGTATCGCGATCGATGCCAATGAGCAAAACACACACACACACACACACACACACACACACACACACACACACACACCTGTGTGACAATCTGCCACATAACCACAACGATCTTGGACGCAGCCAAGGGGAACTTCTGCCACACGCGCTGCTGCCAAGCGCCCACGAGCTGCTGGGTCAACACGCTCGGCTGGTTCTGCCATCACGATGAAGATTGAAAGTTTGCAGTGCAGGGGAGAGCGGTGCGATCGATAGACGGTTAAGATAGGCGAGAAGAGTGCCTGATGCAATCTCGCTGACAGTTTTGCTAAACCGCCCATGGGACACCCATGGAACCCATGGGACACTCATGGGACACACATGGGTCACCCATGGGTGGCTCATGAAGTGCCCACCGCAGGCACTTCAACCGCGAACTTAGCCAACGGCATATCAACGTAGAACTAACATAGCCACCTGCACATCAACCTAGAACTTAGCCACCAGCGCTAACCTAGCACGTATCCTGTGAGTTTGGGGTTAGGGTTAGGGTTAGCGTTGGGGATACTTGCCGCCACAAGGCCCGTTCCAGAGCAGATAAGCCATTGTTTAGGAGTGCGCTAGTCCCGGTTGAAGGGTCTCATTGGCCGCCCATGGGCTTCCCATGGGTTGCCCATGGGCCACCCAGGGCATGCCCATGGTTCAATCATGGGTCTACCATGGACGAAACTGTAGAACGTGTGGGAGACCCTCTTGATGTTCTTGTGAGTCCAAGCCCCAAGTAGGCGTTGATCGGCGGGAGGAACATCGTGGCACACTTGCGGGGGGGGAGCTTATGCTCCTCTCGAAAATATAGTTCTATGGAACCCAAGATGTTCCGGGACACGTTTTTTGTTTCTTTTGGACCTGGGCCGGGAGTTGTTCGCAGAAGGTAAGAGTGAAATTGTCAGGGGAACAAGCGCCACACTGAACAATCGATCTGCACCATGACATCCACACCGAAACCTGCATCCAGGTGCACTTCATCAGAGGGTTCGCACATTGGTAATGTGTAGTCTGTAGCCAAAAGACGAAGGAAAACACAAAAGCGCGAGGCGGCATGTGTTTTCGATGGCAGAAAGCACAACGTCGTCCAGACCCACACGGAATAAATCAGTTACTTTTTTATTGTATCCCTCTTAGACTATTCATTTTCCCGCCGATAAGATAGCAAGCGATGATACTTTCGCATCCAGCGAGGGCTCGACCACGGACACCAGCCGACCCAGCAGCAGCGACAAGAACACAGCGAACGCTGTCATGGCGATCACCATCAGAGCGACGGCTCGCCGCTTGCTGTCTCCGCTGCAAGATTTGCACACGTGGCGGTAGCCCGGGGCGTAGCTGTCCGTGCACACCGCGCAGTCTAGAAGGTGTGTGTGTTGGAGTAGGGACGAAGGTGGGGGTCGAGCGAAACAAGCAAGTCAAGGAGAGAAAACGACGTACAACCGGCAAGATTTTCTGCCTTTTCTACTACTAGCTGTTGAAAAGAGAATTAGTCTATGTCTACAGTATACCTTGGTCGTGGCTGATTGACCACAACAGACCCAAGATCGCACGCTCTCACGCGCAAGCGCCCTTGTCATGGGCCCAATGTCCGGATCGGCGTGAGGCGTGTCGGCTATTTCTCTCCGAGGCTCGGACGAGAAATTGCTGCGGTACAAACCCGGGGTGGTACCCAGTCGGTTTCAGTATTCACACACCCAACCGTGGTACGGGAGGGTGCTCTCAAAGAACAGCGTTGGCTGGCCAACGTTGCTGAACCCCCCCCCAGGACGTATCCCCCTGGGTCGGTGAAAACCCGGCGTGCTTCGTCCCGGCTTTGTACCGATGCGAGGTCAACGGTCTAACGACTACGGCATGCACGGCAATGAGTACACCCGGCGCTCACATGGTCCGGTGTATCCGTCGGCACAGTACTCGCTCAGCAGCACCCCGCCCTGACACGCCTTCTCGTTGAAGCACCTCACGATGTCGGTACTGATGTTGGACAGGCGATGGAAGCCGGGCTGTATCGCCAGCGTCTCGACGGTCCCACCTGTCCCCCGTTCCCATCAAGGGTAAGTGGTGCGGGTTTCCATTGGGGTTGTTTTGGTTCGGCGTTATTCAGGTCGGGTTTTCGCCACACGTAAGAATCGCGAGCGAGCGAACGCAAATGCGAGATGGAAACTAGTCTGTCTCGGTATCACTATCTTGCTGTGAGTGCTATGAATGAGTGTCCGCTCATTCCAAGATGCCAAGCAGAAGTCATACCGCATGGAGTGGGGGTGACGCCGTGGCCCCAGAAATATGCCACACCCACACAATTGGTGGTGATCTGTTGCGACGAATCGAATGAGTGTGGCCTGGATCTCACAACAGTTCGAGATCTAAATCTATTGCCGCTTTGCAAATCTGGCCTAGTCTCGAGAGTCACTGCAAGTAGCGTGGTGGCCGCTGGATTGTTGCCCGACAAGGTGCTTGTCAAACGTTTTTACTCTAGATTGTTGCACGTCAAGGTTCTTCGACTGTGACAAGCTTTGTTTATTTTGGTCGCGGCGCACCTCTTGATGGCACAGCCTCTGGATTTGTTGCCCCGATGCAAAAGTTTTTAACTGTTGAAGCCTTTGACAAGCTTTGTTACTTTGGTCGCTGCGCACCTCTTGATGGCATGGCCTCTATTTCGTTTCCCGTCAAGATTATTACTGTTCGAATCGACCAGCTTCACAACTTTGGTCGAGGCGCACATACCTCTCGATGGCATGACGGTACCAAAGGGAGCGGGCTCGCAGCGGGGTACAGACGCCGAGCTCGTCAACGTAGTCCCTGCCTGGAGTTGACTCCCGCAGGCGCCCGCGCACCTAGAGCAGACCTCCGCGAACCGGCACGTACGGTCGCCTCCCTTCACGCGGAAAGTGCCGCGTTCGAAAGCACAGACAGATCCGCAACAGCGTGTTACCAGGACGAGGGAAGCACTGAATATATTCACGGTGGGCAGTTTCCTGCCTTGCGCATCCATGGAATGTTTGTGTGTCATATGTTTCACGTACTGGGAGGCATGCTTCATCATCCCTCTTTCCCTTTCATGGATAACTTGGGGACGCCGGCTTCCGCGTTAATGTTTGGCGCGTTTGTCGGTACTCATATCTGACCTGCAAGTTGCCTGCGCCAGGAAAGTTTTCCAGGGCGAGTCTCCACCCAACACGGCTCAATGCCGGCTGGTCAGCCTTGCGACAACAAGATGATGTTCGGGCTGAAGATATCCAGTCGCCGTATTATTGAAGGCGTGGAATATTCCTACCCTGTTGCCCGTTGGTCCGCACCGAACCAGAATACCACTGTTATCATGCCGGGAAGACTAGGCGGGGGTGCTTTTCATACCCCGCAATATGGAAGCGCGTGGATAATGCGGCACTTCACCTTCTCTCCGACAGCTGGCCCCCGCCCACGCCCACCCACCAATGAAGTCAAAAATGAACATGAACACCATGCGAAAATCACAGCACCAATGGACCGCTTTCGCGAGGGTTTGAATAGCAATCTACGGAATAAAGGTGGGATTTCGTGTCCCTGTCCCTAACAGTAACCCCAACGCTATCCCCACTCAGTAGCCCATACAAAACCTACGCTTGGTATCCTCGCAAAGGCTACTGATGCATATGCTCCCTCTCGTTGAGGATGAGTGATCGTGGTATCACCACGCTTAGCAGCATCCGTTCCTCACATTTCTTCCGTGTTCCCGACATATCAACGACAAGACGTAGCTCACCGGAACGATCGAGACTTCGCGGCAATAGGTCCCGACCGGGCAATAGAAGCCATTTTCCTGGAAGACCACGCCCGTCATGGACTCCACGATGCCGAGGCTGAGCACGGCCGGGCCCTCGTTGCCGGCATCGTTACCCTCGAACACCGTGCTCGACATCTCCGTGATCATCCTGGCGTGAACGAGGGCTCCTCCAGAGGACTCTGCCACGTTGTACACGGAGGGGGTTGGAGGGAGGGTCATTGTCATGGGGGGGG